ATGAGAGGTGAAACGTCTTCAAGTAACTTAAAGAAGTCCAGACGCTTTTCTTTGCAAGCTCCTTTGACTACGAGGACCTGGATGACTGAGAACCTTCACAGACACCAGGCCCCATTGAAGATATTTTTTAGTCTAACTGCTTCCTTGTGTATAGGTCTAGTGTTACATGAATGTTATGGTTTTGCAGTGCAGACACGTTTTGGCAAGTGAGAGATGTCAGTGGTTGTGCTGTGGGAAAAGTTTTTCACTTTTCCTTTGGACCTTTCTTGTTGCCCTCATGGCATCAGAATGTTCTGACTGAACCTCTCAATCTCTCTACACAATCAGGACTGATTGCTTTATTTGACATGTGCACAGGTAGAAGAGGGCTGGTGGAGCGGCACCTTGAACGGTAAATCAGGCATTTTTCCCTCCAACTTTGTCAAAGAGCTGGAGCCCATGGGAGACATCGGAGAGTCCAATGACACCAGCAGAGCAGATGACACTGGTAAAAATTTTAAAAAAGGGTGCAGCTGAATTTAAAAACATTTGTATTTGAATTTACTAACTTTGTGTAATTTGTCTTTAGTCAGTGTGCTAATCATTTAATAAACCATAAATACCACTTATACAATAGTGTTTATGGAGAAATACCTCAGAGCTGTGGAGGTAGGAGTGTGATATGATTTTAACCACAATAAAATGATCAGAGAAAGTTGGAAGCAACAGGAGATCACTCGGTTTTCACTGTTTTGCACACTGCTACACAGCAAAACACACCGAAGTGTAATGATCCCAGCAGTGAATGAAGGGGCCGTAAAGAAACCAACCAAACAGCTGGCCATCAGCAAACATACATCAGACACGGTGAACACTGCTAGTTATTTTCTAAATCTAGAGCTTGTTAGTTAAGCTGTGTTGTTTCTGTATTTAAAGGTCATTACTCCATTGTTAGTAGAATTAAGTGCAGTTAATGAAGCCGTTCAGTTTAGAATGCAGTCCGTCTGAAACAAGCCTCAGTAGGCTAAGTTGTTTAGTCTACAGCTGCATGTTTTTAAGCCTTCTGCCCGGTTCTTCTATGACTGAGAGATACAGAAGCTCTTTAAAAAAAAAAAGTCAATTTAGGATCCACAGATTGATGGCAGTAGGGATGGGTATCGTTTAGGTTTTATCCGATACTGGTGCCAAATCGGTACTTTTGAAACGGTGCCGGTGCTTAAACGGTGCTCGAACCGGTGCTTAAAGAATGGAGAACACAAAATTGGTCCAAAAACCTC